TTTTTGTATCAAACCCAATTTCTATGAAGACAACAGCCTAATAATAGGACAACATAAATATAGTTAAAGGCTGACAGGCTCAAGGAAGTAGTCTGTCATTGTTTTGTTGACACTTAAATTCGCATAGCAAAAAGAAAGCTAAAGTTTCATCCAAATCTGCCTCCAATTGTATGGAATGGGACAAGCTGCATGGTCTATGCAGTTCTCTAGATCTGTGCCAGATACCCATTTAAAAGTTGAGATAACTTATGCTTTTTAAAAAATAGCTCAAGTTTTTGGAAACATTAAATGTATGAACTCACTGCTACTCCATAAGAGACAATCAAAAGCTATGCCTGCATTGCAAAAGCAATGCCTTTAACAAGGTTGTCACAGATTGTCGTCACATTAGCTTGACCGGTCAGAGAGAAGGGTCCACCTAGGTCTGTGTTCAGCATGCATTTTCCACGTGACACATGTCAAAATCTATGAAAAAAGAAATATTTAAAAGGGAAAACATTTGCCTGAATAAGTTAGTCTAGCATATCAGAAAGTATAGATTGTGAGGCTACATTTTAAAGGGGATGTTTAAAAATCAGCAACAATAGCAGGTTCTTTCATGAACTACTACTCTCATTGATGAATTCTGTTATTCAAAAACTTGTGCTTGAAATACTGACTTCGATTCTTCCTAAAATAAGGAACAGTTCTTTTTCCAGCAATGACACAGTACCACAAAGAACCATTAGGTAGCAGCACAGTACACATGATATCTTCTAGTGCCTGTTTCTTATTTCCTACCCACCCCTCAGTTTTGGTTTTGCTAATTTCCAACATACACACATGCGTGTATGCGCGCGCGCACACACACACACACAGTAGCTGGTTCTAATTGAATTAGTTAAGTCTGCAACTCCAGAAAAACAGTAATTCAATTAGTGCATTGTGGGGCTCTGCAATACGTCTAAGCAGATGTTCACAATGCTCAGGAAATTGGAGCTAGCTTTAAAAGTACCTGTATCCCATCCGGCTGGCACGACGTATGTCATTTGTCAGAAGAGCTGTGCACACCTATCTGACTTTTAGCAACAAAACTGAGAAAATCCACACTTGGTTGACACAAGCAGTACCTCTTTGGCAAAGCGTGATCAGGGTCCACCACATTCCTCAGGAGGAATAATCTGCATTACCTAACGCTGGCATTAATGCAGCACTGAAGCTGGGGTTATTCTATTGGAAAAGTCATTGATTTTCATCCATTTGTATTGTAATGGCTATCATATGTGGCAATATAATGTTTCTTAAACTAAAGCCATTTTTGTCACTTAGTTTAATGTCGAATTTGTACAGCTAGTGTTTACGTTATAGACATGGGAGATGCCTTCAAGGATACACTAAATGGAGTGTGTGGTGGAGGTTAAAAAATAGATTAAAAGCTATTCATTCCAACATACTTCCAAAAATGTTGAAAATATGCTCATATGTTTTGGAACATCAAAACAACCAGAAACAATTATGTTCCCTTCCTGTCTCCAACTCATCCCCACTAAACCCATTAACTTAGCAAGAGTGAATTATACAAAAGTTTCCCTTTCAATGGGATGGCAGATAATGTGGATAGTCTGATTATACGTATACAATAGGTCAAGGTCAGTGAAGCAACAAAGGACAATAGCTTTTCTACGATGCTTTACATCCTCTGGGACACAAGCACAGGGGGCTACAATACGCCTGGTGGTATTCCTTGCATCATACTACATATTCCGCCAAGACACACTAGGACATTCCTCGCACTTGTTCAACTGTCATAGAAGTGGAAGTAAAAAATAAACAGCAAGGCAAGCAGGAAGTAACAGCTCTGATTTTGTCATGAAAGTGCTAGATACCAGTTATGTATGACAGGTTTGCTTATTGCATAGATCTTACCTCTTTTTATTATTCTTTAAATAACACAGTATACCTATCTCAGCTATACATTCCCTCAGGCAATGTACTCACTCATTTTACTCTGTAAACTGTTGTACAGCTAATATTTACCCACTACAGATGTGTTCAGGTGTGAATATTAAACTGGTGATTTCATTTCTGCCCTTCACAGTTTTAATTCTTAGCAATAAAGAAGGCAGACTTGGGAGCATTTTTGGAGCGGGGGCAGAATAAAAGAGAGACCCTCACAGCCTGAGCACCATCTCTTTTAGATAAAGACCACTGCTTGAAGCTGAGTGTCACACAATGGGACTTCAATATTTCATACCCAATACGAGGAATGAACAACACCACTGCAACTTTAAATCTTGGTAAATCCCCTTTTGTCAGCCTCTCCCTCTCATTGAAATGCCAGAGGGAGCAGCAATCAGAGAGGAGATGTTCAACGTGATAGAGGTCAGGACACCAGTGGATCAACGTACCAGAAACACGACCTTGTTTATTTTTTTCCCCAGTGTTATTGTTTACAGGGTGCTTTGTTCATGTACCTTGTGGTTCTTAGCTAAAAGATGAAATTACAGCCCAGGATGGTGCACTCAGGCACACATCCAATTTGTGTTTCCATCTCAGAAAACAAAAAGCTTTGGAGGCCCTCAGGCTGCCATTCAAACTTGGAGAAGCTGACATTTTTAACAGCATGAACCAGAGACTGGCAGAGGGAATGATCGAATGCATTTCTAACTTGTCAATCAAAGATCTCACCTCTGCTGTCTTGTAAACAGTTGGGAGCCACCTAAGTACATTCATAAATGGGGGGACGAACCAGCCACCAGCTAGGGGGCTAAAGCCATAGGCTTTGGCTGCTAGCACCCCCCCCCAAATTAAGATTTGGTTTTATAGCCGCACTGTAAATAACCTGCAGGTGCTTTACCACAGCCACTGGAGCAGAACCAGAGTTGGCAAAGCTGTATGGCTTTCAGATAAATATAACCAGTCCTTCTACTGCACTGATGGATCTTCGAACACTAAGTGAACCTTACTTCTAATTATTAGCAGTAAATGTCCTGTATTAGTGGAAATTTCGTCAAAAGAAAATTCCCCATTATTACAGCCCCAGAAGTATACACAAAGAACATGCCTGATTAACTTGTGACACCACCATGTCAACAGCTATTCTTTTGCTGTAAAAATGCACAAAAGAAAGCAAGCATAAACTATCGCTTGAATGTTCATTCCTAGAGCAAGTTCATTAGGGGAGAAAAGGGTTCCTTTGCTCTTCAGGAGGATAAATCGTAAACTCTGCTCTGAAAACAGCATTTTCCAGTCAAGCATTGTGGGCAACGGTGTATATAACATAACAGTCAGCAGGGACTAAGTAGCCCTAGAGTTTGCATCTCCTTCAGTGCCACAAGCAAAGCCTACTGATATTTCTCTTCATGTATTACAAAGTTATGATGTAAAAGACATAACCTAACAACAGAAAATTTGCTGTGATATCTAACATACATATTTTTAAGAGGGGCCAAACAAACGTCTGTATGAAGTGGTGAGATAAGGAAGCTTCTCAGTCTCAACTCACCACCCATATTCAAGTTAAGACAAGATAAATGAAGGTCTGCCTCAAAAATTTCTAGCCGACAGCATGCACCCCCACATTTTCCTCAAAAACAGGTAAGTCAGGCTGTGAACTGAAAACTTTTAAATTATCACATTAGGGTTCCAATGTGCAGCATGGCAGATAGGTTTACAGTCAAAGCAGAGGTTCTTCTACTCATAGTAAGGCAGTAGGTACAAAATCATAGATTGGTATCAACCCTTGAGATAAGGGAAGCCTACAGACGGCTAGACAATGTCACAATAACACAGCAGAAGGTGCTCTGCAGACTACACTTCCCTATTATTGATAAGTTCAGCCCTGATGGCTTTCTCGTGTTATTTTTGGGCATAACTCTGTTGGCTTGTTTAAGGTAACTTTGCTTTCAGGGAGGCTGTTTCTGCAAGAGACCCACAGATGTTAAAGCTCATAACCTGTTTTCTGAAATGTAACTGAATAGAAAGTTCCCTCATATAAGTATACAAAGCACAGGAATGCCAGACATATATTTTCTTTGCTGTCAGATCACCATCACAGCGACCTGGACTTTTAGGTACATAAAAGTCTCAAGTTCAGTCCCTGGAATCTTCAGTTTTAAAAGGATGAGATATTAGTAGGTATAAAATACCTCCTCCTGAGAAACTGAAGAGCAACTGCTGGTATAGTACATGGCCAGATGGACCAACAATTCGAGCTGGCACAAGGCAGTTTCGTATATTCAGAAAAGGGGCATGGGTTTGTGTTATGACACATGGTTTGCATACAGAAGGTCCTAGGTTCAGGCCCTGGCATCTCCACAAAGTGCTGGAAAAAGTCCTGAAGAGTCGCATCGGTTAGTGGCAATAGTACTGGGCTGAATGGAACAAGGGCCTGACTCAGTATAAGGTAGCTTCCTATGTCCCTAACTGGCCCATCTGAAATCCTTGCGAGAAAATCTTTTATCCTGAAACACCAGCACCTTCTGATTGTCTTCTTTTTATTGTTATGTATATCATTCCTATACCACTATGTTGAGGAGACTGGGCTAAGCCACCACCAGACAGGACAGTATAAGTTCAGTAATGAAGCCAGTAATCTATGGAAGGTTATACTGTAGTCCAGGAGCCAAACTACTGAACTTTTTTTGATTCCAGCACATTTATGTTTTCCGTCGGTACTCAATAGTTCCCCCTCTTTGATGCACACTTACTGTGGTAAAAGGGGTTTAGAGCATCTTAGAAGTCAAAAGCAATGATGCCAGAAGGCCAGACTATCTCAATAGTAGGGTCACCCAAGGTGGAAGGGTCAAAGCACAGACACCAGTCATCCATCCTCTTAAGGAGTAATGGTTACTCCTTTCTCTGTAGGGCAGAAAAAATTCTGAAGGACAGTTACTGGCAACAGTAGCTGAAAGTAGCATTGGCAGAGGATCTTTCACAGACAATGGCAGTGATAGTCAAGGTAACGTTGGGTAGTACTGAGCAGAAGGAGGAAGTGGCAAACCACTTCTGAATCTTCTTACCTTGAAAATCCTATGCTGAAACAATCCAAAATGAAAAAAGAGATAGAGCCAGAAGATGATAACCCAGGTTGGAAGGTACTTTAACAGCTATTGGGGAAGAGCAAAGGATAAGTACCAATAGGACTGCCACTAATTGTACATTGTCTTCTGTTCCCATGTTTACTTTTAGTTTTATGATGTTGGATTATTAGTTTTAAATCTTGCTGTTTTATGCTCTATGCTGTTGTTTTGTGAACTGCCCAGAGACCCCTTAAGCTATAGAGTGGCATACAAGTGTTATAAATAAATATGCAACAAGATCAATACTGAAAGGAAGTCTAGTGGCTGATGTGCAGAGATGAAAGAAAGGTCCAGTCCAGCACATACAACTAGAACATGGGAAGTATGAATCAAGGCAAGCTAAGAACAGTAAGGCAGGAAATGGAACAGCTAAATATCATAGCTGTTGTGACCAAACTAAAGTGGACCAGGATTGGGACATTTTCTTTCAGATACACATAGTGTTTTACTTAAGAAATTACAAACTCAGAATAAATGTTGGGGCTTTAACATAAGGAGAGATGTAGCACAGGTCGTAAGAGGTTATAATGAAAAATCCAACCAAATAATATCAGTCAGAAATTGTGGAAAATATGTAAACATCACCATTATTCAAGTCTATGCTCCAACAACAGATATTGAAGAATAAGAAATTGAAAACATTTATGTAGATGTTTAATAGGAAACGTGCAACACACCAAAACAAAACATGCTGATAATTCTAGGTGACTGGAACGCAGAAGAAACAAAGCAGAATGAAATGTCGTAGGAAATTTGGCCTAGGGGTCAGAAAAGAAGCAGGAAAACAACTCCTGGATACCTGTGACACCAACGATCTGTTTATTACAAATACACACTTCATGGACATGGACATCACCAGAAGGCAAACTAAATAGGCTATGTAATTGGCAGCAAAAGGTGGAGAATCCATATTCTCACTGCCATAGCAAGCTGAGTAGTGGTAGTAGCCATGAATTCTTAATATCAAAAAAGAAGATCCAGGGAGACACAGACAAGCTTGAACACTAGGCAGAAAGGAACAGAACGAAATTCTCTACCTAGGGAATAAATAAATCAGCTGCATCAATACAAGACAGGGAACACTTGGCTCAACAGTGCTGAGAATGAAGAGGAATTGCTGGACAATTGTTGACCTTTGAGCTGTGTAGACAACAAGCTAAATATGAGCCAGCAGTGTGATGCAGCAACAAACAGGCAAACACTATTTTGGGATGTCTAAACAGAGGCATCAGTTACATCATTTACTTATTCTCCTTTACTCTCTGTTAGTCAGACCTCACCTGGAATATAACATTCAGTTTTGGACAGCCAGGTTTAAAAAGGATACTGATAATCTGAACAGGTTCAGAGGAGGACAACAAAGATGATACAGGGCCTGGAAAATAAGTCTTATGATGAGAGGCTGAAAGAACTGGGCTTGTTCAGCCTTGAGAAAAGACTTATGAGGTGACATGATAGCACTCTGCAGGTACCTCAAAGGCTGCACAAGGGAGGAGGAAAAGACCTATTCTCACTCACCCCAGGTTGTAGGACACAGAACAAGGAACTTAAATACAGAATACCAGGTGCAGGCTAGACACAGGGAAGAATTTCCTGACTGTAGGAGCAGGATGACAGTGGAACAAGCTACAAAAAGAGGGTGTGTGCACTTCCACAATGGTCTTTCAAGAAACAACTGGGTACTTATCTGACCGGGATGGAGTAAATGGCATCCTGGACGAGCAGGGGGTTGGAACTGATGGCCCCTTCTGACCCAACTATTTCTTCAGCTTCCTCCAAACCTTACAGAGCCCATCAACACTAGATACTAGCTCAGCTAACAGAACTGCTGCAGAATGATCTAGGATGCATCAGCACTATTTTCACATCAATCAAGGCAAGAAGCCAGATTTAAAATTAAGTCAAATCATAAGTTCTTGGCCACAAACCTGTAGATTTATCCAGCTGACTGTCACAATGATTCATGAACTTCAGGAGCATGTTGGAGCAACTATTACATGAGGTTTTTCCAGGTGCTGGTACCCTGAGCTGCTGCTTCTACAGAATTATTAATTGTTCCGAAGAAACAGACCACACCCGTTTTTCTTTGGGCCTGCACAGACTCAGGCTTTCCCAACTGCCTCCTTTCGGCTTCTCTTACATCATCCTTATAGCTACCCTTAAATAGTCCCTTTGAAATTATTTCATACATCAGTGGTTGCAAAAGGTGAGATCTGACTGTAGAACTAAGATCGGAATATTATTTTGCCCTATTAAATCAATACTAATGTTGACACAACTGAAAAGGTTTGAGACAAATAAAGACCATGCATTTTAGCAAAAGTGGTCCAATAACAGTCAAACTGGCTATTTTTCAGAGACAAAACTTCACCTAATGCTGTGCCACAACAAGCACAGGAAAAACTTCTGTCACTCAAGAGTTGCTGCACGCACATTTCTTTCTAACACGATCTTCCTGGATGGGCAGTTCCCTTAACAAACGCTGTTCTCCTAGGAGGAGACTCATTTATCAGTCTTGAGCAGAAAGAAATGCCTATGAGGCCCTACCTGCTGCTGACACATTGAACACTGTAGAACTTCAATGAGTATCAAAGCCCACTAGCACAACATAAATATGCTCAAGAAGTGCAGTTCTTGTTCTTCCATGACAATGCCACTTAATACACCCTTGCTCCTATGTATGACACACCTTCTCCTGCAGACTGTTTCCCTGTGATCTGTCTGTTCCTGTCCATAAACTTCACCTCTAAAAAACAGGGGTTAAATTCAAACTACAATCATCTGTGCAACACAAGTCCCTTACGTGAGGGTCCCCAAAACTGGGTCTGAGAGTGAAGAAAGAACCTTTACAGCTGTAGTTCTGAGGTTGTAGAAAGAGCCTCCTGATGGAAGTCTCTCTTAACTTTGAGCACTGCTTGCATTTCAGCAGGCAGTGAAAAGTGTTCCTCCATTGACCTTTTGACACTTTGCCTGTAGATCTGAAGCTATGTTTGAACGTATGGTTCTGACATCAAAGTGGGCTGTTTTAGTGCTCTTTTTATGAGACTGTGTATTTTATTCTATTGTTACAGGACTGGCCCTTCCATTAGGCAGACAGGGACAGCTACCTCAAGCAGCAGATCCTGCAGGGCAGGAAGAGACAGTGAGATGGTAGAAGAGAGCTTCATATACTATGCAGGATTTGTCCTGAACCCCCAGAGTTAGACTGCTGCCCTCAGATGCAGCTGCAGATTCAGGACACTGTTGGAAACAAGACTCACTGGCCAGCCTGGCTGGCTTCTGTAGGGAAATGGAGTGGGAAGGGTGCACCTTGTTGTTTGCCTTGGCAGCAAAACAGCTTGGGCCAGCAGAGTGCCAGTCATTTTGATTATCTTGAGATAAGAAAACAGGATTCAAATTCTTTGAAATAAAGAAGAAAAAAACTGCTTAGTGAGTTTATTTATAGGTGAGACTATTCAGTTCATAGAATCATAGTAGAGTTGGATTCAATGGCCTTATAGGTCCCTTCCAACTCCCTGATCAATGCAGGACTCCAGTTAGTGGATTCTTTTCAACAAAATGGAAACATTGCTCTCATATTCTAATATATCAGATAATAAGTGAGTGAACAGGCTGCAGGTTCAGTTTACATATAAATGTAGTTTGTTTGTTTGTTGGATTGTTTGTTTAAAGTCTGGTCATTGAGCTAGTTTCCATAGCTCAATTGCTCCAGTTTGACTCCTCCTGCTTCCTGGAGCAGCTGAACAACCCAGGGATGTTCTTTCCCTGAACTCTCACTTGTCCCCTTCCCCACCCCAGGAACTCAGTGTTTAACTCTGGTTTGTTTAAGGAGGGACAAGCTAGAGTTTTGGTTTTGAACATGACACTAAACCTTCCATTCCTGTTTAGTCACTCCCACTGGCAGAAAAAGCAGGAATGATTGTGCAGTGGAGTCAACATGTTCACAACAGCCAAGGTAAAACAAAAAACAAAAAGCGGTGTGTTGTCATTGCATGCAACCAGAGCATACCTACATCATGACCAGCAGGACAACCTAGCCTCCATCTGAAGAATCCACTTCTCTGCCTAGATCACTGGCTGGATCTTAAAAATTTAATATGAGGTTCACACTCTTCATCAGCTATTTGTTCAGTGTCTTTAGTGATGTGATCAACTAAGCTCAGAACTGCTGTTGTTAGATTAATAAAATGAAAATGAAATAAAGGGCAAACTGGTACTATGGAATTTTGAAAGGACTCCAGTGAGTCTCATTCCAAGTCTCAGTCCCAAGGGAAACAAAAGGAAACAGAGAAAAGGGAGGAAATTAAAACACTATTTTGTGCCTCTTCTTTCTACCTGCTCCCTATTTTCTTCCAGTGCACTTACTTGTTCATGTAGCTATCAAAGAAAAAAACAAGTGCATGGTAGAAGCGACTAGCCAGAAGCAAAACTGGCTTAGTGGTGTCCCAATTCAATCATCAACGACACCAACTTCCATCCCAAATCTAAAATAATAAAACAAAGGCAACTAAATACATCCAGCTAAAAGGATGATTATTATTACCTTGTTGGTCAAGTATTCTTCCTAAGCTTGAACAAAAAGTATTCAATTGTACCTGAACTGCATTAGAGGTCAACTCTGCATCTATACAGGATGAAAATGGTATCTAGTAGTTCGAACGATAAGAAGGAAGCACAACCATGAAGCAAATAATAGTAATAGTTCTAATAAAGTAAGAGTTAATGAAAAAAGCACAAGCAGCAGACACACTCAGAGAGAGACAGAGTGAGAGAGTACCTGGAAAGCTGTGAGTGCGCCAGTCCCTGGGTTATAGAGGCATCGCAGCGAAGGCATGCTGTCCGCCAGGCTGGAACAGCCCAGCCACAGAGACCGGGGCATAGAGCACTGCAGAGAAAGGACAACTATGAGATGGGACTGTATGAAACAGGATGGCACAGATTACAGGAACTTCTGATGCTGAAGTTGCATTCTCAACAAATCTACAGCTGACTGTAAGAGACTGGAGTAGCTTCCACACACCCACACGCTTAGTAAACTGTATGTTTCCCTTAGAAAAGTAGAAAGGGGTGGGGAGGAATCATATCACACATACTATACCAGTTAAATATCTCAACATTTTACACTAATGTTTGCAAGAATCTCTCATTCAAGGAAATTAGCTCCATGCCTTTAGACCAGCTTTTGTCAACTTGGTGCCTTCCAACTGTTTTGGAATATAACTCCCAGCATTTTTGAGTATAGGTCATGCCGAGTGGGACTGATAGGAGCTGAAGTCTTAAATATTTGGAAGATATGAGTTTGATGAAGGAGGCTTTAAAGGATTAAATTTACTTTTCAACCCATTAACCAAAAGCAAGTACGCCCACTTTTTAGTACAAATCCATCCTGGCTTTCTCCTAATGGTGGTAATCAGACCTAGTCAGTTACACAGCTACATCAAGATTCATTATGGTTGATAGTAATGGAGATTCATTCCTAACCAAGATCAGAAGCTGGCTCAGGGCCGTCTTAGCAGCATTATGGGCCCCGGGCAAAGCAGTGTACTGGGGCCCCTACGACAACTACAACTACTGTTAATTTTGGAAGTTTTCCAATTTTCCAAGGGTTAACATACACAGATTAGTATGGGGCCCACGGGCAAGTGCCCATCAGGCCCATGTGTTAAGATGGCCCTGAGCTGGCTTCAAATCTTTGCTAGCGGTAAACATGATTCTCCAGACATTACAGGTTATGGCCAGCGAGAGAAGGATGGGAAGATGCAGTGGCCTAGAAGGCCCTCTTCAAATCTCTGATTCTACAGATCTATGTAAGAAAGCATATAAATCCCAAATCTTAATCCTGAGCACTTAATCCTGAGCTCAAATCTTAATCCTGAGGATAAACAGCATGACATTTATACTAGTCAAGTATCTCAATTTAGTTAAGATGTTGGAGCATATTTAATGAAGGTGATTGTTTCTGCTAGCTGTACTTTTTGGAAAACTGCCTCAAGTCATTGCCTGAACAGATTCACATAGATGTCATTGTCATTTTACACACTGCATCCTTTTCTAGGGACCACAAATTAATCCACTCAAAACATCAATTAATTGATTCTGTCAACTAGTAAGCGTAACCCTCCAGTTCTGCTTCTGCCTTTACCCAGGCAGCGTCACCATCTGGCAAGCAGCAAAGTATCCAGTGTAAGCAGAAGGAAGGTGAGAAACATCACAGGGCGTACAAATGTTTGTAAGCCATCCTGAGACGTTCTCGTAAAGGACGGCATACAAATGTTTTAAATAAATAAGTACAAAAGGGAAGAAAAAGAAGACTGAACTAGAGACAAGAATGAAAACAACCTGTGGTGGTCCTACAGTTTATCCAGCCTTACTTGGATATTCATTAGCAAGATATCTCCTCCTTGCTTTTCAAACTGAAGATATGCAAGAATCCAGATGTAGACTGGGATCTACTGGTAAATCTGTTGGTGTTTTGCAGCAGATGAATGGGATTTTTTAAATGTGCGATAGCAGCCTAAATTATACACCTGAACTGCTGAAGGGTTAAGCAACAGAGTAGAAGCTTGTGTAGCAGGACTGTGACCTCTGTTCAGTTCTAGTACTTAGATTTCTGGGCTCAGAATTCTTTAAGATTCTTTCAAACCAGGGCTCCAGTTGGTAGATCTTCATGTTCTAGTAAAAAAAAAAGTAGATCTCACAAGTTTACAGATTTCTGAATAAAACCACCAGAAAGAGAGCAAATAGCTTCTACGGATTCATCTGGTTCTCACTCGGTTATGTTGGTTAAATGGCACTTCATTTTATCACTGACAGGATTTTAATACAATAACCCTGCAGTATTTATTTGTGAAATGCTGACCCACCAGTGCCAGACAAAACAATGAGATATTAAGATCGTATGATCCATCTCAGCAATTTTTTATCTAAATCAGAGAGAGAGAGAGAGAGAGAGAGAGAGAGAGAGAGAGAGAGAGAGAGAGCGCGCGCGCGCGCACAGAAGAGATAAATATTTTAAAGAAACAGTTATTCTTATGGCAATTGTATGATAACTTGATGGGTTTTTTTCAGGGGACATCCTTTCCTCCAATAGGTAAACGTTTTTAGTAGAACAGAAATGGGAGATTTCTAAGGGCAACAACTGGCTCAGGTTTTCCTCCCCACCCTATTTATGTGCAGTTTTTCATTTAAAAGGTAACAGATACTGTCTGTCTAAGCCTTAAAGGAGTTTCATTTTAAGTGGAGAACAAAACACACATGTACATTCCCCTCTGTGATTCTGTTCTCACCTGGCTCTCTTCTTATCTGTGTAGTCATTCCTTCAGTGTTTCCATAAGTATAAGCTCATTCTGTTTTCCCTCTCTGTTGGGATCCCTTTGGGGTTCTTGGCCCTCTAGTGTTCTCCATAAATATACTATCCATGGGTTGTTAGTTGTGAAGTTGCATCCGACCCATTGCAACCCCATGGACAACACTCCTCCAGGCCTTCCTGTCCTCCCCCATCCCCCAGAGTCCACCTAAACTCTCACTGACTGCTTCAGGGACTCCATCTAGCCACCTCATCCTCTGCCGTCCCCTTCTTCTTTTGCTGTCAATTGTTCCCAGCATCAGGCTCTTCTCCAGGGAGTCCTTCCTAAGAACCACTTATATCAGAGATGGGGAATGTGTAGCCCTCCAAATGTTAGATGAAAGTTCCTCTCAACATTGGCAGTGCTGGTTAAGGCTGATGGGAATTGCAGTCCAATATAATCTGGAGAGCCACATGTGTTCTACCCTAATCATTATGTTTGACAATAGCACCTAGTTTTGCCTCCCTGTCTCAGGTTCTTCATCCAATGTTGCACTCTAGTGCTTCACTAATATTTATACTACATCATTCTCTCAAGTTCAATCCATATTCTCCTCATTAACTCTCCTTGTCTAGTGACATCCACACCATCCAATCAGTTAGACAGAGAAGCTTTAGTTTTCTATTTGACTCCTCTCAGCCCTTCAACTCCATTTCAATCAGTTGCAAAACCACATTGCTTCTCTCTTTAATGGCCTTTCCCCTCTATCCTCACCCCAAAATTTGGTCCATGTCCTGGCTATCTCTTGCCTTGGCTGCTATAATTTTCTCCTCTCTGGCCTTCCATTTTGCCATCTTGATCCAGCACTCTGTTGCCAAATTATTTATCCCTTTGATGAGAGGACATTGGCTCTACATAGGTTTCCTGGCCACACCTAGATCCCATACATGCCTCTTCTCCTTATCTTCAAAACTCTGTATGGCCCCGTCCACTACCATCTCTTTGCTTTTTCTCTCTCAGCACACCCTATTTTCATTCATTCAGTAGCACCATTTACTGTGAAGCTTAAACTGGAACAACTTGCCTTAATACTCCGCTTACTTGCTTTCTGTTACCATTTGGCCCCACAGTTGCAATTTCTGCCTTTTCCCCTATGTGTGAACTGATTATAACTGATTATAACTGAAGGAGCGCTTATATCCATATATGCCCAGCCGCCCCCTGAGATCGGCGGGAGAGGCCCTTCTCCGGGAACCCTCCATGAAAGAAATTGGGAGGGTGAGTACTTGGAAAAGGGCTTTCTCAGCGGTGGCGCCTAAGTTATGGAATGCGCTCCCCAGAGAGGTCCGCCTGGCGCCGTCGTTTTTTATTTTTCGGCGCCAGGCGAAGACCTTTTTATTTAAGCAGCATTTTAAATGTTAATATTATTGAATTTTATCTGGCCAGGGGGGCTTATTTTATATTGTATGTTTATATTTTATTCTAATGTTTATATTTTTAATTTATGATTTTGATTATTTAACTTATTGTTGTAAGTCGCCCCGAGGATTCGGCGAATGGGGCGGCATAAAAATGTTTTAATAAATAAATAAAATAAATTTAATACATCTGAAGAAATGGTCTCTGTTATATCAAACATGAGGAACACTTCTGCGATGCGGTGAGGGGCATCCACCCAGCAGGCCTGAAGACACCAAGAATCAAGCCCCTGAAAAAGAAGGGACAGCTGGGGAAAATGAGATAGGAGCTGGAGGAGTGCTCTTCCTGCTGCCTGGGTCAGGGCTGTTTTACTTGCGCTACATCTTCCCTAGTGGAAAAGCACTTGAAGGCACAAGACATGTGAACAGACTCGGCTAGTGTTGGGGGAACAGCTTTGCCTAGTACTACCCAAGTCAATCACCGTAACCGCTACTTCATGGTTTCCCCTGGGCTTCACCCTCTTGAGGAGCATGCAGAGGCATCCCCTTTGTGATCTCTGATCAGGGGAAGTATCAAAGATTACACTAAGAGACAGGGCTTGGAGGCCAAGCCTAGCACCCTGGAGGAATCCAAGGAGGCTTCATGGGCTGGAGGTACTGCGAGGCTTTTCATTTAGCATCCCCCACTTATTTATTGCTAAATATGTTTAATTGCAGTCATTGCATACTTTTTCCTTATTTACCTTTCCCTCAATTTTCCTTTCCTTCCTTTGTTGCTTCGCATATGCTCATTTTTCGAATGGCAGCCTCCTGAAGCAGAGCCCTGTCCATGTATTTAAAACACCATGTACACAGACGCACACAAAAACCTTTTAAATGCTGATCCAAACAAGTTAGTATCTGTGGAGCAACACTTCGAGCTGAATCCCATCTATATTGTGCCACACCCAGAGTTTGTGTGTCGGTATCATTACTTAGAAATAATTACACAGGAATGCCTGGAAGCCAAAGGTTGGTATATATGCACATGTGTATAAATTGGGTAATGTTGCTTCAGCGTATCACTGGTAACATAATTTATACTCTCAGGTCTGATGCAGTCTTTTAGCATTATTGTCATGTATTGTGTGCAGCAAGATTGATATTCACTTCCATAGTTGTTGCCTCTTTCCTTTTTTTTT